CTTATGCTACATCCTTGTCAATTCTAGTATTGCTCTTTTACTATAGCAGCAAGTTGAACTTTCTACTTTCACTTGTTTCTCAGTTTGGGTTGTAAAGCTATATTTCTTCTTGGTGGGAAGTCTAGAGATGATGAACCCTTGGCAATGTTCCTACGAAGTGGTGATGTTGTGCTGATGGCTGGAGAAGCTAGGGAATGTTTTCATGGTAAGCATGGCATCCTCTGTCCCATTTTTGACAATCTTCGTGAAATGCTTGCGTTAGTGGTAAAAGTGAACTTCATATGACTTTAAATCTTCGGCCATTTTACGAGATGTTCACCCCAAATGTTCATGGTGTACAGTCTCAAACTCTCAACTATCTAACCACCGCATCTTTCTTCATCTTCATCTTCTATGTGGCAGGGGTACCCCGCATCTTTGCTGACAGGGAACACTCTGAAATTGCATCCTTGGAAAAGCACCTCTCAACTGAATACGACCGTTGTGTCTTGGATTATATCACATCTTCAAGAATCAACATCAACATCCGACAAGTCTATTAACTTTTATCCACTGCCAGATATCTTAGTTTGACTGTTTGAGCCATCAACACCCTTGGTCTTGAACACCACCAAGATAGCTTACATTCAACAAGATCATTACTGAATTGAAAGTTGCAATGCTTCGAAAAATGTTGGTCAAACACTCTTCTTCTGCTTATAAACTTCAGAAGTCTTCGTTGCTCTGGATTATGGGCATACATAGTAATGACTTTGGCTTCCCCAAGCTTCAATGTACGAAGTATTAGTGCGGCTTTATCAAGGGCAAAGGAGACGGCATCCTCTCCAGCAATTGGACCAAAGGTGTTTTTGGCATACTATTTATTCCTTTTTTTTCCCTGTAATTTTCCTCTCTCCCGCCATCCAGACTGGACAGAATCTTCCCTTTCGATAAAAAGCTTGAAAGTAGAGCGCAATGCTACCACAATTTTCATGTGTTGATGGTTCCATATACTCACTCTTTACAGTCTTTAGTTAGGAAGATTTTTGAAATTTATGCAGTGATTCAGTGTAAACACGAAAGGAGTTTTTACTCGTCAATTTTGAGTATACATTTATTTATTTTATGTTTTTGCTCATTTCATTCATTGTATTGGCTAGCATACTATCCTTAATTCTTGTGCATAAAATTGTCAACAGGAAATTGTTATCTGCTCTCTTGAAAAAAAATAATTATGTTGAGAGTGGGATTTGAACCCACGCCCTTTCGGACCAGAACCTTAATCTGGCGCCTTAGACCAACTCGGCCATCTCAACTTGTTTGATGTTGAGCAACCCAATATTTACTTGTTATTATTTCCCTGGTGTCATGTACGGATTTATATCTTTCCAACACAAATAGGTAGGTTTAACTTTAATTAATTAATCTACTTTAACAAATACTCGTACTCACTACGTATGATGTATTTATGAAAGTTAACGGTCAGATTTTGTAGTAATTTCACTAATTTGACCATAAATCTAATACTCTAACAAGTATTTCTATCATCTAATACTCTATACGGCGTAAGTAATAATTAACTTTGTGCAAAACAAGTATTTCTATCATCTTTGATACTTATGATACGTAGTAGATTTGGGGAAGCTATATGATAAGATAATGAAATTTAAAATTCGGTAAATGGCAAATTTTATGAAATTCACTATAAGAATTCTTTATAAGGAGATTTTGTATGTATTATGATTGTGAAAAATAAATCAAACTTTGCCTTTTCTTATGAGAGGGTGAAAAATAAACTATCCAAAGTAATTAAGGTTAACTTGTCTATTACTTCTTGTGCTCCCTAATACTCACAACTATTGTGTGTTGCTTGTACTTTATGAAAGATTTGTGGGTTGTAAATAAAAATAATAAAATTATGTGCAAGTGTTGTTAATGGGAGTATCCTTCGTTTCATATTAATCACAACACTAAGGTGTTCACAAATTTTAAGAAAATTTATAGGGAGGGGCCCAAAAGAGGATATTTTATAATATAATGTATTGTTGATAGGAGAGAGAAATAATAAAAAAAAAAAAAGTAGTATAAGTGGGGTTTATATGAAAGAGAAATAATAAAATATTTGTGAAAGTGGGGTTAGTGGAAGAGAGAAATTAAAAAATAATGATGGATCTTTTCCAAATATAGAAGTAGAGGTGGCAACGTACCGTGCTGGGCCGCCGCGGGCCGTGCCTGTAGCTTGGCGTGTCGTGCCGGGGCGGGCCACCATTTAGCACACCTAGCCCACGGCACGGCCCACGCCGGGCCGCCCGTAATTTTTTTAATTTTTTTTTTGAACAACTTTTGAAATGGATATACTATTTAAATAATTTTATTAATTTATGTATATGCATTTTTTATTATATTATTATTCTTGTTCTTTTTATTATTCTTTATTATCATTTATGTTATTTTATGGCTGTGCCTGGCGTGCCGTGCCAGCGGGTTCGTGCCGTGCTCGCGCTGGATTCTTGAAATCGTGTTCACAGCACGGCCCACGGCCTAATCCTCGGTCACCGTGTCGTGCCGTGCCACTAGCGGGCTCGTGCCGTGCCGGGTCAATCTCGTGTTGGGCCCGTGCCGCCCGTGGGCCAGCACGGCCCATGTCCACCTCTAATAAAAGTGTTGTAATTAATATGAAACGGATGTAAAAGAAAAGTGTTGCGATTAATACAAAATGAAAAGAATTTGTGTGAAAGAGGAATACTAAAGTAGTAAATTTAATGCGAATGGGATTAATGAGAGAATTAAACACATAGAGAATTAAACAATAATATCATTGTAATACTAGGTACTTCATACTGCATGTTTTTTTTTAAAAAAAGGTACTTCGTATTGCAAGTATTTCAAAATAAACAAAAGATACATGTGTCGCGAGTATTTAGAAATGGATGTCAAAAAGTTAGGACTTATTCTCTTCAAGTTATTATAGAAATTTATTACTACCTTCATTTTATATTAGGAAAAATTGCTCGGAATAATCCCACATTTGGGGCGTCCGTCCAAAATAATCCCACCTTTGAGTTATGTTTAAATAATCCGACCTTTATACCCAATTCACTCAAAATGATCCTGGGTGACCTGTAACCGGTTGAGTAGTTAATTTTTTTTTATTAAGTTTAATTTACATGTGTCACCATGTGATTGGTCAAAAAATAAGTTTTAATTTTAATTTTGTTTTTAGAAATAATTATTAGTAATTAACATCAATTAACTATTTTTAATTTTTTTCTCAAAAAAATAAATAAATAAATAAATTCAAACCAGCCCCGCCCCACCACAACCCTAGCCACCTCCCCGCCCCGACAAGGCACAAAGCAGCCATCCGCACCGCGACCAGACCCAAGCTCCTCGGCGCGCGCCGTTCGCCAACCCTCCCCTACCCCTTTCGTCGCCACTAAACCACCACAACCTTTACCGAAATCAAGGTGTGGGAAAGGGAGAAGGGCCAAAATCGAGGCGTTTGAAGGGGATAGGGGCCGGAATCGGGGTGTGGGGAAGGGGAGGTTGTCGGAAAAGGGACCTAGAAAGGAGAGGGGGCTGGGATTGGGACGGAAAATGGATTTTCGAGGGTGTGGGATGGTTTTATGGCTCGCTGGAGCTTCGCCTGGGCTTTCCTGAACAGTAAACACTGCCTTGATTTTCATGAGGAAGGGGTTGGTGGTTCAGGGGAGGGGGGTCTGGCGCTGTCGCCAGCGCTGTAGTTGGGGGCTAGGTGGTCGGAGCCGCGAGGCAGAGGATCGGGCTCAGGCGGCGGGGACGGTGGCTTGGTCAGCTAGTGGGTAGTTTTTTTAAATATTTTTTTTTTATTTTTACTTTAAAAAATCTAACTTTTTTAAAATTTTTATTTTTTTATTTTTTTTTACCAATCACAGGTTGCCATGTGTAACTTGTTATAACAAGTTACATGACCAGTTGGGACCATTTTTAGCGGATTGAGTATAAAGGTGGGATTATTTAAAAATAACACAAAGGTGGGATTATTTTTAGCGTACGCCCCAAAGGTGAGATTATTCCGGCCAATTTTTCCTTCATATTATTTACAACTTTGGAATATTTTATGTCTCAAATAATACCCAAATATTGCAAATACTATGAAGGGGAGGTAGTATTTATTTTTGTCAGAATCTTTTCTTTATAAACAACCCTTAGATTATAAATATATAGATAAGATCACTTTTCTTTGTTGGGAAAGGATCATATCAGTTCATAAATATCTTTAATTGCATATGAATAAAACTTACGAGTGCGAAAATTACATATCTAAAAGGCATGCAAGTAGACGAATGTAAAACTCTTAAATGGGTCTGGTTCACACTAATTTATTGTGGACCATTAATATTAGAAACACTATGGTTGTTTTATTAATTAAAAAAAAAGTCACTATATTAAAATATAGGTTATTACGTTGCAATAAAAGTTATCGTAGCATTATAAAAACTATAAGAGGTTAATTTATTTTTCTAATGAATTTTTTTTTATATATTGGTTAATAGGAATAATAAAGGTCACTATGTTAAAATAATTAGAGGTTACTATGCTAAAATTAGGGTCACTATTTTCAATATAATGTCAGTTGCGTGTATATAAACCTTAGGTCTACAATAAATATTATTGTAGATCTGGTCCACGCAATAAAATAAGGTAAATTTTTGATCAAATCCTTAATCATACAATTAAACCAAATCAAATAAAAAATAATTTAAAAAATACATGATTAGAACAGAACACATACTTCATATTAGGTAGAGGTGTTGATTCGGGTGTTTGAGTCAGGTTCGGTTAAGTCGGGTCTATTATAAATTTGAATCATGCAAGTTTATTGTCCATACAAATCAAAATCTGAATTGAATGATTTTTCAATTAGTTTAAGATCAGGTAAGTCGAGTCAGTATTTGACACCTCTATAATTTGGCGAAGAAAACAAGTCCGAGGAGTAGCAAAGTTGTTCCGGTACGTGGGTTTTGGAATTCCCAAATTTTTGGATAAACTGAGGGTTGTTTTCTAAAATCGCACGTATAAATATGTGGGAGAAAAATACAACCGCAAAAAAAAGAAAGATAAAAAGAATCAAACAAGAGAGAGAAAAACTGAAAAAGCTTTGGTAGAATTTAACTGATAGAGGCAAAACGTCGAACACATGGCGTGCAGAATGGTGCTGCGAACCATGTTCTCTACCGAGCCATGGCTGCTTCCATGTTCATCCAACCGGTTTCCTCCTTCTGGCCCGTTGAAGGTCCAACATCTGAACATGGGTTCGGGTTATTGGGTCACCCGAACCCAGAACTTCCACCGGCTTAATTGCTCTTCTCAGGATGACCAGGGCCCACCTCAAGAAGCTGTACTCAAAGCCATTTCAGGTGTGATATTTATCTTTTTATTTCTGGGTTTTTGATTTTTTGAAGTGGGTATTTGTGAATTAATGTCTTGATTTGATTAATGATTGATATTATGTGAAAGTTTATTGCTTTTGATGTTTAAGTGCTTAATTAAGTTCTTTGCCTGTTAAACTTAGTTGATTTTCATGGAATAGGATGCTATTTGAGGAAACTAGGATGCAAAGGGCTTTACTTTAAGAATTAGTGGCAGTCTAGCTTATAAGGGTAACTCCGCTAGACTCGTCATTTCACCTCAAATACCCGTGTTTACTCTTCGTTACTTGTACGGTATGGAAACTTGACAGACATGAGAATTGATTATAGACCAGTAGTATGAATTTAATTTCGTAAATAGATAGTTATTATGCTTGGACATGTACCTTGTATGATACGAGTACCTAAGTCGCAATAACATAGATAAATCGTAAAAGTTTTATTGGGAAATTTGATGGGATCAGACTACAATATAGAACAGTGAGTAAGTTGATAGATTTTGGTTAAATTAATGCATAAATGCTAGTCTGGTTCCGGTGCCTAGAAATCTTGAATAGAAGATTAATCGACGACTCGAATAGAATTTGCTTTATCTTAACCAACTGTGCCAATATATATTATGATCAGGTCATCTGTTAAGTGATTCTGTAATAGTGCGTTGGTATAATGGTATATACTTTGGTTCAGTATGCGAACTGGACATTGTTTTGTAATTTTCTATGACTCTTGTTACTATTATTGAGCTGCATTGCCTTTAAGTGATTCAAGTATAAATATGTGTACACTTTTTTGTGTTTGTTTCAGAAGTCTCAAAGACGGAAGGAAGGGTTGGGCAAACTACGAATGTTGTCATTGGAGGGACAGTAGCAGATGATTCTACCAATGAATGGCTGGCTCTGGATCAAAAGGTATTTTTTTACTGATTTTCCTTGAATTCTTTCTACTTTCTGCCATCATGACCATTGAATTCTGTTACGAACTTAAATTATAGTGTAGGATGGAGTTACTCTGCTTGCTTGTGTACCTGTTTTGATTATGAAAATGGAATACATTGAGTCTATTATAGGGCTGACATTGTGATGGTTTTCATTTGTATGGTAGGTGAACTCGTACCCTACGATTAGAGGATTTACAGCTATTGGAACTGGTGGTGATGACTTTGTGCATTCTATGGTTGTAGCTGTTGAATCAGTCCTTCAACAACCGATCCCTGAGGTAACTCTTACTAATTAGAACTACACCGAGTGCTGATTAATTAAGAGTTACAAACAGTGCAATAGTTTCTAAAGGGACGGTTGATGTCTACTTTTGTTGTGCACTTTGTTATGGTCTTATATACAGTAGTGTGTACAGAAATATGCCATCATAATTCATACTTTATATGTAGATATCACCTTGATCAGCCAAAGATATATTAAATCAATATGATGTTGTAAGCATATAGGGTAACCAATGTCAATGTGAACCTGTTAAAGGTTTAGGAAGCATGTTTTTCTGATATGTTACGAAAGCCTTGGTGACAAATATCTACGAGCCTCGTGTGGTTGCCCAATCAATACTTTCTTAATTAAAAACAACTTGGTTGGGCAGCATCTCTTCAAAACTTCCTTCTTTCTAGATCTATGATCCTTAAAATCAACTGTGAGTATTCTTTCAGCATAGTGGTTAGAACCTTCAATTTTTGGTTATCAAAGGTTATAGGTTGGATCCTTTCCCCAAGTGTGTTAAAACTTTTAATTCTTTTGACAACCATTCATAATTTGTTTATGTGAAAGGGTGCAGATCTCTATGTTGATTTTGAGCTTACATGTAATGTGAGTTGGTAAGAAATTATTATTAGCAGATAGTACATAATATTATTCGAAACAAATTACTAGTGTGCTGACATAGGAAGTCTAATAGTGAGAGGAAGAAAGGGACTAGCCGACTAGGGGTGAGAAATTGCTTTTGGAAGCCGGTCGTCTTTACTGGTTTTGTAGAGTTATTTGCAGGAAGCTATACCTGCTTTTATGTTCCTCAGATGCCTTTCCTTTTCTCTCTATCTTTTTTATGTGTGAATGTGTCATGTGAGACTGAACTCAGACCCATCCTACCATGACGTTAGTCATAATCAAGCTTATCAATGTGAAAGACAATGTCTACCTGGGTGGAAAATAGCTCTTCCAAAGCCTCTTCTTGGGCGTAGACAGCTTGATGTTTCTCTCTGTGAAGTTATTAAAACCTTTTTATATTTGTTTGGGGGGGGGGGGGGGGTGCTGGGTGGGTATGGCTATTAGGTTGTGTTCAGAATTGACCTCTATAAGGAAATCTTTTTCTCTTTTTTTTTTTTTTTTTTTTCTTCCCAGTTCATCCATTATGATGACCATGACTCAAAAAGTGTCTGGAAACAGATACACATCTCTGCCCTATTTTATGATAAAATGGATATCTTTGTTATACAAAACCTCAATAAAAGACATACAGTTGAACCTCTTTTTTTTTTTTTTTTTGAAAATTACCAATCATTAGTTGTTGAAAATGAATTGTGGCCTGTAGGGTTTAATAGAATGAATCACACATTTACCACGAAAAAATACCCATAAATCCATAATAGTTGGGTAATGTATCGAAATTGAATATTTGACAAACACTGAATTTTGGCATAATCTTGAGAGAATTAGTGATAAATCATGACCTATAGAGTTTTGGCTTGGTAACATGTTTTAATTGAAAATATGATGCGGGGGCAATTTTGATGGGAGCTCTTTTCTAGCTTGCTTACATACATTCTAGTCATCAAACAGGATCAGATGATAAAAGGCATTGGTAGTTCCAAAGAATTCTAGATATGCTAGTCTTGAAGAAGGCCCTGCTAATAAAAACCACTAACCAATGAAAAAAAATTATATTAAGCACAAGACTTTCCACACATATAAGCATAGCTTATGACATGTTGCATCTCAAGCTTATATTATGAAAAGGTAGTGAGTACTAAATCCATTACGAATTCCCAAGGTTACCAAATATTCTTTAATTGGAGTTTTACATAGAAGCACTGGTTTCCTCAAATTACCTTTGGCATATTTCTTTCTATTGGTATTTGGTTGAGATTAAAGGATGCATTCAATATAAGAATTATGTCACTTCTTTCATTCCACTTTGTCTGCTTACTAGCCACTATGGCCTATGAGGATTGGGGAATCACTATTTTTAGCAACTCTGTAGAGTGACCTAAGGTAATGCAATGGTAAAGATGTTTCATTGGTACCCGTGATGCACATAACATGCATTGACCCTTATGGTGGTTGAAATCGATGCATCTGGCCACTTTTCAATGTCATCTACTATTTTCTTGGCTGAAAGGGAGGAATGAGATGAGTTTGATAGTGGCAAGAGCGAGGGAGAAAGGCATATATTCCATTAAGTTGTAGGGTGGTTGGAAGCTTGGATAGGTGCTGGAAAGTTGGAAGGGATCAAGGGAGGGATTGAGAGGGGAGAAGCGGTGTAATAATTTTATCCAACTAAACAAGAATAGGTATCTCTTATCCATCCAAAAAATATGGGTTAACATGAAAACTTTCTTTTACTTGATGCACTCTTCTCACAGAGATTATTGTCCTACTCTTAGTGTAACAATGTTGTTTGTTGTTGACATTAAGATTTACTGATTAAATGATATGGAATATTCAACATAGCTGTTAACACTAGCACTAATATACAACATATGACTCAGTGATGTCACTGAAGTTCAATAACCGAATGTCAAATGTTCTTTATAACTTTTCTTTGGTTCAGTTTTTTCCTCTTCATTCTAAATCAATACTTAACTGCTTGTTGCTTCATTCTCATGCAATGATTCCCATAGTAGTTTTTGTTGACTCATGTGGTCGATGCTGGCTTCATTGAACTCTAATATGGGAAATGTGGCTTCATTCTCATTCATTTATTCTCATTCATTCTTTCTGAGTTTTGACCAATGCTGTAAAGTTTTATAATTGAGACCATGTTTTCATCTAAAGGGGGTTAAAAGTGTAAAATAGTTGTTTAGATGTGGTTTTACCATGATTTGTGCTGTCTGGTTTATGAATTAGTCTGTTCTGTTCAAACATCTTTTTACTGCCAAAATTTATCTAAACACTTTTATGATTTTAATAGGGTCAAGTAAAGCAGAAAACATCATCGAAGGGCAAGTATGTATCTGTTAATATTGGACCTGTGGAAGTCATGTCTAGTGAACAGGTTACTCTCTCTTTCTCTTTCTCTCTCACATTCAATAGAACGTGAGTTGCTGCATATTTGAATCTATAACCAATGCCATTTGAAAGTAGGTGCATGAATTATGGGGAGAAGCTGACAAATTATTGCTGATTTATATTGTGATGTTTGCTTATACAGGTGCAAGCTGTGTACAACGCCATGCGAAGAGATGATCGGATGAAGTACTTCCTGTAGGCTAGATTTTCTTCCCCTTTTTTGATATACTAGTATTAGATTATTCATATTTTTCTGCAGTTCCTGTAAAATATAAACGAAGTATGCTGTAACTTATAACAGACTCATCATTGTATATTGCTGCGGCCAAACACATGCCTTAGCATTGTTTTTCTACATCAGATGACGAAATGCCTCGTATGGGCATCGGTGCTTACAATTGTTACAAATACTTACCTTTTTTCATGTTATCGAACTGCTTAAACTAATTAGTCTTATTCCATATTATCATGCTCGATTGCTTAAACTACTTTTGCACTATTACTAGTTAGTTTTAAACACTACTCGTAATGTAATAAACTAACTGTTATAATTTGGTTAACCTCAAACGATAGTTTATATGAAAAGCAAAGAGTATACTATATCAGTCTTCTCACTTCTATATCCATTGTACCAATCGTTGTATAAGATTCTAAATGATCAAACACGAAACTTATGTATTTCTATCAGAACCGGGCTATTGAGCGTTGAGTCAAGGACCTGATTTTTCTCCGTTTAGCCAGAAGAACTAAGAGCTAGTTGCCTCTTCTTTCTTCGCGATGAAGAGGATTCAAACACACACCATTACTCACTCCATTGAATCACTTGATTCATCTACAATTATTAGCAAGTACAATGAAAATGAAATAAGGACTAAAATATCATGAATCAAATATGCCAAATATTAACTACATGTTGGAAGTATGGGATAGGTTCAAACTCCAAAGTCTTTAACGTGCAATGAATATGGATAAAAAATGTCATAGAAGGGAGTAATCGTATACCTATGGCTGTACGTATAGTATAGTAGTATTATTGATTGATTTGAAATATAATAAAATTTATAGATATCGACTTTGATTAAACATAATAATGATACTCCCTTCGTTTTATAATTAGAAGCCTATTTCTAACATTTATTATTCACATAATAAAGAGAAATAGACTTCTAATTATGAAACGAAAGGAGTACTAAATGATAATACAGTACTATTGACTAATAGTCGTCATTAAAGTCGTATGGAGTTAGTCCTATTAGAAATTTAGAATTAGTGACGTCTTTGATTAAACATACAAGTAATAATGATACTAAATGATAATCCAATTAACTAACAGTAGTCCCTATTAAAGTCGTATGGAGTTAGTCCTATTAGCATTACTGATTTAGTGCCAATTTACTATTCTCCTTGAGAAATGAGGACATTAGTACAAAGAATTTGTTTCACAAGGGGATTTGAGTTTTTACGTTCAATCTACATGTGAATATGTGATTGCCCCCATACATAGTGATTTGTGAAGTGGTGTATTAGAGGATATATAAGGTTATATAGTTTATATTACTCGTACTAATCAAAGCAAACTTAGTGGGTATGATGGGGAATTTAAAGTTTGAACCCCACTATCTACTTATGCTTCTCACTACTTAATCTCAATTGTTGATTTATGTAGCTGCGGTAACTAGCATGTGAAAGATGATTAACGAAATGTTGGTCAGCCGATATTGATTTTCACTCAAATCATTTCAATTGCCTAAAATCATTCACCTAAATCCACCCAAATAAGGAAAGATTTCTAATTGTCTTTTCATATATACTTCATATCATTTACAATCAATCAAAATGAAAACAAAATCAATAAAATAAATGATGAAGAATTTAGATAACGCTAGTATGCATTATTACATTGTTTACATACTTTTTATGGTTTTATTTTTTTTAATTAGGAAGCTCCAGTTCCTCATTATGAGAAAGTGTTTCTCATAATGACTTTTTGGAAAATAATGTGATGTTTTTCATTGATGGGGACCGCGCATGAGTCATGAGTGAGAGCCCAAGATCTTGACACATACCCATGAGAAACAAAACTTGTTTCTCATAATGAGAAACAAAGAATTACCCTTTTTTAATTATAATGTTTGGGGTTTTTAATAGTTCAAACAAAAGTACGTGGAAATAGTGTAAAATTTCAAACATTATATATAAAACATAATGAATGAATTGTATACGAGAGTCAACACTCATCTAGAGTAAGTCTATCATTGTACAAAATAAAAGACTTATGTTTTAGATTTGGAGTTTGTCTTTACAACACTAATCTCTTTGGTAATTTGCTACAATGCTCTACATTTTTAGAACAAGATTTTCCACTCTATAAAATGTGACTAACGCGCTCCAACACTTGCATTCTTTGACTACTTATCCCTTTGCAAAGATGTTTGCAACAGAAAACCAATTGTACAATAATTATTTCCCAACACTACTTTTCTTTTGTTTAGGCATGCCACTTCAAAATTTGAAAACTATAAACAACAGTAAAAATTCAAACTTTATTCAAGAAAGAGGCTAGGATAGATCAACCAGGACATCACCAAAAATCTAAGAAAACTCATCCGTCCAAGTATGACTATCACAACTACTCTCATGTATCAATATCATCTCAATACATCTGAATTAAGAATTCAGTTATACACAACCTTACCTCTATACTAATCATAAGATCATTTTTAAAACAATACCTACTACACCAAGATATAATTTTATAATGTATCGGTAATTTGGTAAATAACATAGTATACTAATCACAAAATTTGGTACTACTAGTACTATTATTAGGAGGTATCTCAAAATGCCACAACCTCCCAACACCACCAACCTTAAACTTCAAACATAAAAACTCCTTAGCGAACTCCCTCTCAACCTTCCTATCCACATCATGTAAGAACACGTGCGTATTTCCCACGCGCTTCCTCGCACGTGCCATCATGGCCGCGGAATAAATCGCGGCCATCCTCCCTGGCGCGTCAGGAAAATACCCTCTAGGCGCGTCGATCATAATTACATCCCACTCTCTCTCATACACCTCATCCGGTAAATTCTCCAACGCTAACCGGCACTCCCGGTTACCCTTTAAGAAAGCCTTCCCAGGTAAACAATCAGGTACGTGCCGGTAACTCGCAAGTAACCGGTCAGCCTCCTTAAGGCGCGTGCGATACGACACCGTTTTGGCGTTTAACCACGGCGCGTCCTTAAGAACAGTGGTGACCCACTCAGGAGTTTCTTCGAGAAACAAAGTGGGCCCATTTGGGTTAAACGAGGCCCACATTAAGGAATCGTAGCCCAGCCCAAAAACAAGGAAATTACAAGGAGATTTACAAGAGCGAAGAACGTTGAATGATTTCGTGATTTCTTGGAGAGATTGTTGTGGGGTCACCTTTGACGTGGCGTAGTGTAAGATTGCCTGAAGTTGGATCGGAGTAGTTGGGCCGGAGATGGTGGGCTTGGGCCGGAGAGATAGGAGGTACGATGGCCAATCACGGTGGCCCACGGTTAAAAATGCCGACATTAAAAATGCGCCGGTGAAGAAACTGATTAATGCCACGACGGTTTGCCGCGGTCTGTCGGTGGTTGATCCGACGACGTCGTTTTCGGGTTTCATTTCCACTTTTGGATTTTATTTTTACTTTTTTTTTTAATCTCTCTCTGATTTTTTTCTCCCTCTATCACTCTCTCTGTGTGTTTAAGTAGTAGTGTAATGGAGGTGGAGGATATATAAGAGAGAGAAGAAAAAGTGATTTATTTTTTATTTTTTATATTTGTTTGTAATAAAGAAAAGAATTGCTATATTTTAGTACGTAGTATAGTGCCATTATTTATTGCTAATGTTAATGTAATTAATTAATTATGTTGGTGTTTAATATTGAAAGGGACTTATCCAAAAGGAAAATCTAATTAATTTGTGTTTTTTCTTCTCTCTTTTGTCTGTCCGATTTTGTGTTAACTAATTTATTTTGAAAATTCATTGCTTTAATCTCATATAATTATATGAGCGAGTATCTTTGAGTTTGTCTCTTATTATAAATGATTATAAGTAGCCTCTCTTCATTTGTACAATTTGTGTAAAAAAGAAATATGTAGTAATGTTGTAAGATTGAAAAGGTGATTAATTTTAAGTTATCTATTAAATTCGTTTTAATTCTTTACTTTTTATAGCAGTAGTTTTTTATAAAAAAAAAAATAGTTATGACAAATTAGCATAAAACAATTACACAATTTTAACTTGTTGTTTTTTATATCAAGATATTGTAATTTTATTTTATATCAATCAAAGACTTTAAATGGTGATTGAGATCAAATATAAACCTTGAAATTTGGACGTGCGTGATAGACATGAAGATAAATAATACGAAGTACTCCGTATTATATAAGAAGTATGTTGTTTTATTAGTAATTTATTTTGAAGAAGTATGATGTGTTATTTGTGTGGTGTTGGCTGGCTAGTAATTTAGATATCTAAGTATCACAGAATGCACATAACTAAATCAACTTTATCAGAGAGGATTAGATGTCAAAACTAGTATAGTAGTATTAGGTGTAAAAATAAGTATCAGAGAGGATTATTTTCTTCATTATATTTTTAGATGTTAACAACTAGTATCAGAGAGGATTAGATTTATTTTTAGAGGTAATTATTTATTATCTAATTTATTATTCTTGTTTTTGACAAATCTGTTAGGTAAATCTGCACCAATTATATAAATAAATCTGCACCATTTATTGGATTCAACTTATAGTATCATCCCGTCAAAAAACTTATAGTATCATCAATTCCATTATGGAAAGAAATTGGAGAGATAGGATCGATTTTACTTTAATTTTTGTAAACTTTTTTTTTTTTTAATTATTAATTTATTTTAGTAAACTTTGTTACAAAGAGTCAAAGTGATGCATGTAATTAATTACAAATAACACTTCGTATTAAGGAACAAATATGATTGACTCTCTTAAATTATATTGAATATGATTGACTCTCTAAAATTAATTTGAACGTGTGACCTCTTGTCATGTTAAGTTGATTCTTGATACGCGATGTTAAAAAAACCAACCAAATTAAAAGCTTTTACTGATATATAGTTGAAAGTTGAAATCCATAATTGATTTACATATATACTCTATCAAATATGTTTACGTATGAGAAATTTCTTTACCTACATGCTTGTATTTCATTAAAAGGACACTTGTCAGGCGAGAATATGTTGTAGGAATTAACTATATATACTTCGAGGGTGTTTGATACATGGGAATTGAGGGTGGGATTGGGAATTTAAATCTCAACTCAAAAAAAAAATTACCTTGTTTGTTTGATGGGATTGAGAATAAATAAGGGAATGAGATTGAGAATAAATAGGGTGAATTCCTACCATTTTATTATCTATGAAGGGTAGGTAATAAATGGATGAGAATGAAAATTGGTAGAAAATAACATTTTTGTCATTAATGAAAAGATTGGAGGAGAAAGGTTAGAAACGGTAATTTTTGTATTTTTGTATTGTCATATTTTTATATATTCCGAACAATCAATTCCCAATTCTTATCCTACATTTTAATCTCCAAACTCCTATTTTCACATTCCAAACGCCCCATTTATTCTTTTTTTTTTTTTTTTTTTTTTTGACAAGATACACTTCATGTTATTTGGGTCATTGCCTTGGTAAGAAGTGGAATGTATATCTACGGCCTATCGACTGTTATCCGAAAAATGCGGTGTTGATTGCTTGGAAATTGGAACATTATATGAGTATGTAGGAAGGTTAAGGAATTTATGGCATAAGCTTTTTATTTTAATTGTAGAGGATTTTTCGTGTTCATGTACGATAACTTAAATAACAAAATATTGTTGAAGATGTATGTGCGTTATTTCATTTGTCTTTTCTTTTGGCTAACTTCTCCATAAGTTAGGATCTTCTAATCTTCCAATTCCATCCTTGAATTGAAAAGTGTCCACGACATTATTTGTCTTTTATTTCAATCCTTCCTTTTTTCACACGTGGTAGTCCCTTTCACATTATCGTCAATTTCCATCGGAACAATAAGAAATCAAATTAACTATAATATTAAACGTAGATGTGTAATTATATCATATGGAGTATATTGATAAGAATATTTCATTTGACAAAAGGAGTTCATTAAATTTGGTGCATTTAGGTTGGTGATCATTTTTTTTTATTTGTCTAAGGATCTATGTATTTACTTCACATAAACTTTACTTATCGTTATACGGATACCCATTTCACTCAATGTTTTAAAAACCTTTTTTTTTTCCAAGGTAAACAAAACACATACATCCTAAAATAAACCTACATCGATTGAGAGTTTACTATGCAATTGTATGTTGTAAGTGAAATAGATTGTCAGACTTATACATGTTAAATCAGTCATTTCATTATTTTTCTAATGTGGAACAAATCAATGACATGTCACTTTATGAAATAGATGATTGGTCTGAATTATAATCTTCACTCAATACCATTAAACTTTAACAGAGCTAAATCAAGGCACATCAAACGGAAGATTTTCCCACACACAAGCTTAATAGCTAGAAGTCTAACCTAATAATATGTATGTAGTTGATGTTTAATAGGCGGTGTTATAGCTCCAGCAAAGTTATGATTGAGTTAATTGTCTTTCTTCTTTTTCTCCTTGCCTTATAGGTTCTTCAATAATGTAAATAGGATAATTATTTCTCAACATGTATGTGTGTCATTCTCTTTGCAATTGTTTTCCATCCCTAGCTTGCATATAATTGGTAATGTAAGGACATATGTATAAACTTCATAAATAACATGTAAATAAGGTCAAATATAGAATACAATAGAGCAATAACAAAGTAGATTGTCAACAAAGGTACGGTGTAGATCAAATTTCAAAAGTTCATATTGCTTTAAAACCTACTCCTGTAATTGAAGAAGGTTTTTTCTAATAATATGAGTATGTAGTTGCCACACTTGTTTTGTGCCTAGCTAATAACTCTTTTTTTTTTTGTTTGATGTTTTGTCACTCAGTTTCACAAAAAAAAAAAAAAAAAAAAAAAAAAAAAAAAAAAAAAAAAAACATGTTACAAAATACACAAAGAGTTAGTTGATTCCAATTCCTATGAAAATACTGCTACAAGTATTAAATAACATAAGACAAAGTATTTAGCAATAAACTGTGAAGTAATATGAAGTAAAACGAATTGTTATTTACATCTTTTTATCAATAACTACTATTGAATATTATGAACTATTATTAGTACTTGTTTGAAACTTTCTAGTTAATCTTTGAGGTTAGAGAAATACAATGCTAATCTTAAAATATTTTATACGTACAAATTATCTCTTTATCCATTAAGAAGCTACATAAAGATTCATTTAAGTCTAGTAAAATGACCATGAAACTAGATCAAATATGGAGTAGTAGTTTTTTTATTTTTTATTTTTATTTTTTTTAGGAATAAATTAAGCAAAATCTCAAGAATTTAAATGGCTTTAATGTTGACTACTGGCTAGTAACCAAGTGGCGCAATTTGATTGGTTGTTATAGATCTCTTTGATTATTGTGCAACCCACTTTCACGCTTGATGTCTCCTTTTTTCGTCAACTACGTAAAATAACGACAAGTGTACATTTTTTACCGCACTGTACTTAAGACAAAAAACAATGTCCCGTACAGTTTACCGACCACATGCTACGTGGCATTAAAGTAAACAAGATTCACTTAATTTTTTTGTCAATTCCACTGACAAAAGTACTAAAGTAGTGCGACAAGAATATATTTTTCGGTGCAAATTATATATCACTAATTCTGGTTAATTCTGTAATGCTTAATTTTAATCTTAATTAAACAAAAGGTTCAATGTATAGTACAATAAGTCAGCAAATACATGTAACAGAATAAAAAACTGCTTATAAATATGTAAAAGTTACCTAGTATATCTAATAAAATAAAGGCAGTACTAGGTATTATAAGAAAAAGTTATAATAGAAAAAGTTATAAACGTCCAAGAGAATAAATCTCCTATACTAACTATTGTATCTTGTTAGAAGAACTTATCATCATCGACTCATCGTGAGTATTAAAAATTGGATAAAAAGTTGCAATTAATTTGCTTCGTGTCTATTAGTAATTAATAGAGTATTAATTATGTTTGTGGTCATTAACCGATGACATATTCACACCTTCTATGAACACATCGATTAATTGTGTTTATAAAAAAAAAATACTTTGTACACGTGAACTTTTGATTTTCTAATTACTACGTATATATTCAACAAAATTACTCAGATAATTGATTCACACAATTAAAGAAGAGGAAATAATAATTAACAAGCGAATGTGATATAGTGCTAAAAAAAAGAAAAGAAAAATAGCATTATATAATACTTTTATCTTGGGTTTTGTTACAATCCATTGACTTGTAAAAGATGAAAGAAAGTTGTTAGTTGGTTCACATAGACAATTAATCCACATCAGTTTGTCACTAACAAATATCAAAGTTAAGGTGTATATGTATTCTCATACCAATTGAAATTAATTAACATTTATAACTTTTTCTTTTTTGAACAAAAAACATCTATAACTAATACTTTAAAAAAATAAAAAATAAATAAGCTCATACATCTATTGATGATGTCTTTATTTTTTTTTTCTTTTGTTTGGAGCTTTTATATTTAATTGCTTTGGAAATTATATTACTAGTATATGCAATAGCCTTAACTTCTCAAAAAACTGTTTATGATCATTTTAAACACTCGATCTATCGATCTAGAAGCTTCTACAATACGATTAAATATTTGTTGCCTGATTAACAAAACAAAACACTACAACGTCGACACTAATTGAATCTCAATATGTAGTGATGTATGCATTGTTTATATATGCATGGATGAAATATGTAAGAAGTTAACACAAAATATATACTCCCTTCGTTTTCGAAATTTTGACTCACTTTGCATTTGCGCGGTCTCCAATGAACATCTTTGACCATGAATATCTTTGACTATGTATGAGTAAAAATTACAAAAATTTGATATTTGAAAATTTTATAATAAGGTGAGTCTAATAAGATCTCACATGCTATTTTACTTCTATTGTATAAGTCATAAACTGTGGTCGAACTTATTTTATTTTGACTACATGAATACTAAGTGAGTCGAACATTTAGAAACGTAGGTAGTATATTAGACATAATCCATCTTCAATTTTTACATTAATTGTAGGAAAAATTGATTCTAATAATCCTACCTTTAGTCGGTTCGCAGTTAATAATCCCACCTTTATAGGGGATCTTCTTCTATTGGTCCTTAAACTGTTGGTAATTGATTTTGATAGGTTAAGATGCCACGTGTCGTTTCGTAATTGGTTGAAAAAAATTTAAAAATTAAAAACTGAAAAAAAAAACAAAAAAAAAAAAAACCATTGGCCACCCCTACACCCACCGTGAAACCCTAACCCTTAACCTAGCCCCACCGTAAAACAGCCGGCCGGAAGCAAAGACCACCCCGCCGATCAAATCCACCGACGAAATCATCCCCTGACCCAAATCCCACCCTCGAAACCACCATCACCACTATAGCCGAGAACCCCCAAAACTCTGCTGAAAACCGCCTTAAACCCTCGAAACTCCACCGAAAACCACCATAAACCATCGAAACTCCGCCGAAAATCGCCATAAACCCATGAAACTCCACCGAAAACCCCCTCTAACCGCTCTTGAAGGTTTTTTTTTTAAAAAACATTTTTTTATTGAAAATCGGGGTGGTTTTAGGGAGAGCTGGGGCGGATTTTGCTGGGTGGGGATGGAAATGATGGGTGTTCCGGCGATAGGTATGGGGGTTCCGGCGGTGGGGATAGGGGTTCCAGTGGTGGGGATGGGGAGGAGGGGCTGCCAGAGGTTGGAGGTTAGGGTGGTCGTTGGGGAAAAAAAATAGGTTTTTTTTTTTTTTGACCAAAATTTTTTTTTAGTTTTTTTTTTTTTTACCAATTATTTAGTGCCGCGTGTTAATTAAATTATATAATTTTTTTTTCCCAATGTACAGGTTATCGGTCATAAGAGACCAATAGGAGAAGATCCCCTATAAAGGTGGGATTATTAATAATAATCTAAAAGTGGGATTATTAACAGCGAATCGGCTAAAGGTGGGATTAATATAATCAATTTTTCCTTAATTGTATTTATTTTATAATAAAATGTTAAATGTATTTGATGCTTATAAGTTATAACAACATACACTAATTAACTTGTATATAAAAGCTTCAATTTAGATAAAATGATAAATCACGTATCACGCAATGGTATATTGGTATTAGCCTTAAGTTACTACATCTCACAAACTCCAAGGTCAACTTAGACCAATAAGGATGCTTTAATTTTGTGAGTCCCCAATCCATGTGACGATAATTAAGCTTTGGACCAACCTTAGCTTACTCGGTACTTTCGATTATTTGACCAATTGAAAAATAATTTAACTAGAAAATGTTAGTTACGAATATTATCAATATCAGAAAACATTGATTATATCTTGTAAATCTAACAAAATATGATTATATACAAAGCAAGGTTTATAGATGGAATTCATGCAATTACAAATATATACACTGTATCTAATAAATCTAACAAAATATCATTAGCTTACTCTCTCTCTCTCTAACAAATTATCATTAGCTTACTCGGTAAATCTAACAAAATATCATTAGTTTACTCTCTCTCTCTCTAAAGCTACAAGGTTTATTATTATAGATGGAAATCATGCAATTACAAATATATGCACTGTATCTAATCACCTCTTTATAAGTCCGTTATGTAGGCGAGCTATTATCCCTCTATGATTATATACAAAGCAAGCTTGATTATTGGTGAATTCGGAGATATATACAATTCATAAAAATATCTTAATTAGGTAATAAATGGCTAAATTATAAATTTAAACTTAACAACTTTTTAGTTCTTTTTGAGGGAACTTATTAAAACTTTTAGTTGCACATCCTTTTCATATGTACGTATAAATCATGAAAATCACATTATGCATGTACTTTAAGCTCAAAATACTTTATGCAAAATATTATGATGAATAGAAACTATATCAAATTATCAATATATCAATATGATAAAGAAAGCTTAATGAAGAAGTACGTACTACTACCACTTCTACGTACTGTTCTAAACAAATTAAACTTTATATAAAGTTACAAAAATAAATTAAATAATTCAATTCATATATATGTTCCAATCATCAAAATTTGAAAGTAATGTTCACTCATATACAGGATTAGACGACTTGAGGTAAAAAGTTTAATTCTTATCCTCTAATTATGAATACGATTTATAAACAAGTATAAGTACATAATAAAAAGCAAATTCTACAATGTCATTCTTCAAAAAAGGCACCATAATATGCTAATGAGGCGAAATCTGATTGACCCATAGTTAGTATTTTGATTTTTATTTTGAATTATTTTTAATGTCCGTAATATATTAAAATTGTATTTATATTATGTACCCTGTATAATACATGTATTTTTTTTTTAGAAATACTTAATCATAATTATGAAAATCCCTTTGTGTCCCTGCCTTTTCACCGCACCTGCACCACCACAAGCTACCGGCTGCCTGCAACCCAGCAACTCACCGCTGCCGCACCACCTAGCAGCAAAACAACCACCTCTAACTGTCGGACAACAGAGCAGCGAGACACCAGTAGCCCTCTCGCCGCTCCACCTACCGCACCACTACACTACAGCAGCCCAGTCTGCCGCATCCTTCTGCCCCGCAATCAATCACCATCGCCCAGCAGCACCATTTTCAGTCACCAACGCAACCACCACCTTCAATCCACGCTTCAATTCACCAACAACACCAAAACGCAACAGCAATTGCGACAATTAGAACCTCCAATCCACCATCAATTACAGTAATTCGCCACCCAATTACAACAATTCCGACCTTCAATAGCCGCAACAACTTCAAATTGTGCTCCAATTGAAGATCCAGAAGGTGCGCTCATGGAAGCAGATTCGAAAATAATTTTTAAAAATTAAAATAAATTTTTAAATACAACAAGTATGTATTTTATAAAAAAAATAAATGTATTTATAATAATACATACGTAATGTATAGTATAATTTGGCTTTTAAAAATAAATGAAAAATTGACCAACTATAACATGCCAGTCAGCATGTTTTGGTGTCATCAGTAGAATCATCCCTCAATATATACTTTTCAAGCATAAATAAATTACATCACAAGATTCACAATGTATATATATCAAATATATGTACGTACTGTGACCTTAAATAACTCAATCCAAATCAATATAACTACAAACTATACCAATAAGACAAGAAAACTTTGTATAGTCCTCATAAATAAATACGTAGTATAAAGAAATAAATTTCAAAAATAAGTAAAAAACTTTGTAAGTCGCAAATATTAAAAGCAATAATATAATATCTCTCATGTAAATTAAATCTGAGGTCGAGAGTTTGATGCTTATCCAATAATTATGTGTACTCTTCATAAATTATAAGTGTAAGTTTCGATACATGTAATTATTTTAGACAACAATATAATTTACGTAGCCTTACCTCGCTATGTAACGATCACATACCAACAATAATAAAAAGAAATTCGATTGATCCATCCTTAACAAAAACTTGTTTTACCCTCATTAATAGGTCCAGATGGTGGGATCTCAAAATGCCATAATCTTCCTACAGCTCCAACTCTATACTTACTACACAAAAATTCCTCCGCAAACTTTTTCTCCACTGGTCTATCAACATCATGCAAGAACACGTGTGTATTCCCGGGACGCTTCCGGTCACGCGCCATCACGGCTGCAGAGAATATCGCCGCCATCCTCCCTGGATGCTCCGGGGAGTACCCCCTTGGGGCGTCGACCATGATCACGTCCCACTCTCGTAGGTACACCTCATCTGGTAGGTTCTCTAAGGCCAAAAGGCAGTTTTGGTTACCCTTTAAGAAAGCCCTAGAGAATTGGCAATCTGGATTCTTTTTGTATGTTTTTAGTATTTGATCGGCGTCTCTAAGTTGTGTTCTGTATGGCACTGTTTTTGCGTTCAAAAACGGTGCATCTTTTAGTACTGTGGTGACCCACTCAGGGGACTCCTCTAAAAAGAGGGTGGTCCCATTTGGGTTGAGTCCAGCCCACATGAGGGAATCATAACCTAATCCGTATATGAGAAAGTTACATGGACTTAAGGATTGTAGTACGTTAAATGACTCTGTAACCTCTTCCAGGGTTTGTTGTGGGATTATCTTTGAGGTCGCATAGTGAAGGATGGCCCTTCCTTGGACGGGCATGGAGGTGAGTGAATATTGATTAGATGACCATCGGCTCGTAAAAGCCGACATTAAGAGTGCACCCGAGACGAACCCCAAGAACACACCAATGGCGATAAACCATGCCCGATCAGACTGGTTGGTTTTGTGACCCTTCATATTTTGTTTAGTTATTACTATTTGATGTTGTAGTCTAGAGTATTGTAGTAAGGTGTTATATATATAGTACTAGTACTAGAGGACTTTAAAATATTGTTAATGTTAATGCATAGGTTTTAGAAAGGTAGTACCTTTTTAAAATTGTAAGCAATAGAAAATTTGGGAAGTAAGGAAAGTGATCAGATTGCACGTTCAATAAAGGTTAAAAAGGTAATATCACATTTCTTAGAGGTTTCTTTGCGTGATACGTAGTGAGATGAAGGAAAAGAGCAGTGAGAAATTAGTTATTAATTTGCAACTCGAAAAAGTTCAAAAACTAGTATACAAATAAGTATAATATTTCACTCGATTTCTTGTTTGTCACCTAAGGTTTTGCACAGATTTTTAGGGTAAATTCTATAGGTAATTAATATACTAATACTCAATTACTCACTCAATGGAATAGTACATATATGATTAGCTAGTGTGGTGAATAAATAAATAATATGGAGTATTACATCGATATTTTAATTAATTTATAATGAATTTATGAAATACAAAAAAAATTAGACAAGTGATATGATAAATGTAACATGAATAAAAAGCGTAAAATCTATATATTCCTCATGACAACACCGCCCACGATTTTCTTTCAAACTAGATTGATTCCAACCATGTTTTCTTTGAAGATGTTGAAGCCATTGCATATGCTCATGCTCAATAATGGTGACAACAATAGGAATTTTATAACGATAGCCTTATGCAATCAATAAATCAATTTGAGTATAATTTTTCGTGTATATTTACTTTATCTTTTTAATTATGGAGTAACAATAAGTTGTAGACGACTTTTCTTTAAAACCATCAACTAGGTATAAGTGATCAACTATATATATAATGAAATCATAGGTCGTAGACTTTTCTCCAAAATAGTAATATAATGTAGAAAATTATTCTAATGATAGAGAGTTATTAAAAAGAGAATGATGAGATTAAAAGATATACATAAAATCATTAAATACACATTAATGAAATGAATTATAATACTCGCTCCTATATATTTAGTTATTTACTGGACATAATATCATAATGTATCAAAGATAATAAGATATGATAACAGCAATAATGATACCAAGTTATATTTATCTCAATGTTCACCGCTCCAATTAGGCGATGACAACTCGTATATAATACTCGTTATATAGTAAATCTAAGTTAGACACGTACTAGATGTTGATGAACTTTCAAAACGTAGTAATAACAATAACGATGTACTTGTATATTCAAAATGCAAAAACAATGAGTAAACCCAAAAAAAAAAAATAGAAGACAGGAACAACAGTATAAATGAAAAAAAATATATAATATCAGTATATTTAATTTCTTAATATTAATATATTAAACGGGGTTAACAAAAATTATTGATACTACCGCCGTTATTATCATTGCTAACCGGTGGAATTTCAAAATGCCACAACCTTCCAACACTACCAACCTTATATTTCATGCACAAAAACTCTTTTGCAAACGTTTCCTCCACTTTTCTGTTAACATCATGTAAGAAAACATGTGTATTACCTACCCCTTTCCTCTCACGCGCCATCACGGCTGCGGAGAATATCGCCGCCATCCTCCCCGGGTGTTCCGGGGAGTATCCCCTAGGCGCGTCGATCATGATCACATCCCACTCCCTTTCATACACTTCTTCTGGTAGGTTATCCAAGGCTAGCTTGCAATGCTGGTTCCCCTTCAAGAAGGCCCTCTCGGGCCGGCAGTCGGGTTCCTCCCGGTACGTTTCTAGTAGCTTATCGGCTTCTAGGAGCTTTGTTTTATATGACACCGTTATGGCGTTTAAAAAAGGCGCGCCTTTTAAAACGGAGGTGACCCATTCCGGGGACTCTTCTAAGAAAAGGGTGGTCCCATTCGGGTTAAGTGCGGCCCACATGAGGGAGTCATGACCCAACCCGAATACTAGGAAGTTGCATGACCCTAGGGTTTGGAGTACGTTATATGACTCCGTAACCTCCTTTAGGGACTGTTGTGGGACCACCTTGGAAGTCGCGTAGTGAAGGATCGCCTTCAGCTGCACCGGTGTGGCGGTGGACACGGAGGAGAAAGAATATCGATAAGAGGACCACCTGCCTACAGACCCCTCAAAAGCCGACATCAGTAGTGCACCCGCTACAAACCCGAACAATGTGCCTAGGGCGAGTAGCCGTGTTCTATCGGTACCAAGATAATTGGTACTACCTCTCTTGTGACTCCTCATCATATTTGATGTATATAATAACTTGGTGTTTTTGAGGTTTTTGACCCTCTTATATACTTCCTTCGATTGTAAGGCTTTAATATATACATATACTAGAATAGGAGGATGGATATAGACAAGTAGTAATTGACAATATTGCTAGTGTTAATTATTATATGCTAAACCATGAAATGATTGAATCGGGTGTAACGTTGGAGCACGTCTTTAGGTGATTTTTATAATAAGTTTCAATGTGTAATAAAATGTTGACAAGTGCTAGAGATAAATTAGATTAGCAAATAAATAATTATGGTACAAGTTTATTTGTTTTGAAGAACAAACTTGTACAAAATTGTCGCTTTAATCGGTGATTTATAAAATTTAATAAGTACATTATATTATAGTTGAAGTGGGGCCAATACGTAAGAGACGTGGAATTGTGTGAGGAGCTTAAGATTCGAGAGAGTTTAATTATATTATAATTAATTACTCTGATTTTTGGATTGGTCAATAAAAGAATATTAAAAAAAAATTAAAAAAAAAGAAGAAGAAGAAGAAGATATTATGCTAATATTCAAATAAAGGAAGAGGTGGGTTTATGTCGATAAATGTGTTTCGACTTACATAGTTGTAAGGTTTATGTCCCCATCTTTATATTATAAAAGTCTAGTTGGTTTATTTAAAATTCTTACAATAGAAAATTGAAAAGGATATACATGGAAAATTGTCAAAGGAAAAGACAAGAAAATGAAATGATAGAGATGTTGAAATTTGAAAAAGTTAAAATTACAAGATTTCAAATTTTCAATTAGGGAGAAATAGAGGATGCTGAAATAAGTCTAAGGCTTCGTTTACTTCATCTTATTTTTGCTCAGTTGAAATTATTTTTACTGAAATGAAATTATTTTTGTTTAACTTAAATTATTTTTATTAAGGTGAAATTAATTTTACTGAACTGAAATTATTTTTGTTGAATTGAAATTATTTTTTACTGATTTTCTATTATATTTTTTCTTTATAGTTACTTAATTTTACTGAATTGAACTTAATTTTACTGAACTGAAATTAATTTTACTTAATATTATTTTTTAGGATGATTTTATAGCGGTCATTTGAAAAATAACTATTATATTATTTTAATGATATATAATATGATCGGTTCATTTTTTCACGTTATAAAATGGCCACAAGAATTTCGAAAATTTTAATCTAGCATAAAATAAATATTTTTTGAGAAACTATAAAATAAGAATAAAAATTATATAACTGAAACTAAAAGTTTGATAAATAAAAAAAAAATATTGATAATACTATTTAATACCATCAATTAAGTAATATAATTAATTACTTGAAAAAAATATGTCAATTATGAACTATATAATCATTAAAACATTATGATAATCATATTTCAAACGACTATTGTAAAATTTTTAATTTTTTTAAAGGTGAAGTGAACAGGGCCTAATTGGTTAGAGAGCTAATTCGTATGTTTATGAGCTTATACTATAGCTTGATGAAAGAGCCTTGTGATGTTCTTACTACATTTATATTAAAATAATATTGGTTTTATGTAAAATCTATGAGAATCGTCATGTGTTATAAGGATGAGTTTAATAATAATAAGTAAAATGTGACAAGTTTAAAGAGCAATTACTTGGTTACAATGTTTCAAAGTCAAATTGAGTGACAACTAGCCGTTTTAGATGTCCGTGACAAACTCTTATACCCAAGCATGTAAGGGTGTTTGTTTTTACTTTTTTTCGGGGTAAGGGTGGTGTTGTGTTGTGTGTATTAGTTTTTTTCTTGTGTAATATGCAAACTTGTTTTAAAGTTTGAGATAGCCTAGGATTTTGCGTGCATCATTTAGGGCCGCCAAATATGGGCTGCTTTAATTTGCTGTAGTTCATTGTTTCATTTGTTGATGGACTTCTACTTCACGATTGGCTGGATTAGAATTTGGGGTTGTGGAAAATATTTTGGGCCAAATGTGGGCTACTTGTTAGTCTATACTGACCTTGAGTCCTTGACTGACCCGATTAAATCTTAGAAAATGATAAGAGTTTGAGAGTAAGAATTAGCTCAAGTGGTTAGAGTTTTCCTCCCGGTTGCAAGAGATTTTGGGATCGATTCTCATCACCTGCCTTTGTGGCTCTCTAAACACAAGAAAAATGGTAACAATTACTTCTTCTATTTCTTTTTTAGCTGACACGTTTTGACTTTTGACAATATTTACAAACTCTACTTTGACTATTTTTGTGATTTATAGTTATGAACTTGTAATAAAACATATTCACATGGGATCTACTTAGAATCGTGTCATTTTATATTTTCATAATATAAACTTTTTATAATTTTTACATATTGATAATTAGAATTGTGAATAGGATTGCAATATCTTTAATTTGTGTAGAGGATCATTAATTTAGGTATGAATTTATAAGAAAAAATTTGGCAACAAAAGGTTGAGTTTAAGTGTTCAAAATGAAGCCGAAACTTCAAGTTTTTGATCAAGACAAAGGTTAAGACTCATTCAAATCTAATTAAGACGAGATGAGCAAATATATATCGAGCATGTCTAGGTTATATTGTTTTTTTTGGTGTTTAGAGAGCCACAAAGGCGAGTGATGAGAATCGATCCCAAAATCATCTAGAATCGAAAGGGAAGCTTTAACCACTTTAATTATCCCTCACTCTCGTCTAGGTTATATTGTGTATGTGTGTATGTTGGCTCTCGTTATAATGTTTGAGGAACAGGCCTTGGTGATTCTGTTGGGTTGTGAGATCTGAGATGTGTTGTGTCCGCTTTAATTAATTTGATGAAGGCATGCAACTTCATTGTCTTATTTGTTGATTGATTAGAATTTGGGGTTGTAGAATATGTGTTGGGCCTAATGTGGGCTTCTTGATAGGCATGTTAGTCATATGTGCAAAGAAAATTAGTGGATCAATAGCTAACCCGAACTGAAATTGATCATGACCAACCCAATTGAATCTAAGAAATTAGTAACTCATTCACTAACCAGAGATTTTATGATCTAAACCAGGCACCACCCACAAATTAACCTGCACCCGACCCAAGCAAGTAATTACGGAGTAATTGATGGAGTGGATGTGAGATTCAATTTCAAAGATACTTCATTCGTCTTAATATAATTGACACGTTTATTTTATTTTTTAGAAAAATTGACAAAAACAATTTCAACTATTGCCGATTCGCTCAAAATAATCTCAATTTTGGATTATTTTTAAATAATCCGAACTTTAGGGGGTATTCGCTTTAAATGATCCCAACCGGTCACCGAACCTGTTATATCAAGTTACGAGGACACGTGATACCACATGATTGGTTGAATTAAAAGAAAAACTTAAAAAACAAAAAAAAAATTAAAAGAGGACTAGCCACCGACAACCCTTAATACCACCGGCGTTAGCTGCTTCCGGAGCCCCCAACCACCACCGCCGACCTTCCCTCACGCCGGCGCCGGCTTCCAGACCATCCTTCCCTCGCGCTGGCGGCGCTTTCTTCCTGCTTCACCCTAAATTACCTAACCTCAACCGCAAATAAACCCAAACCATAAAAAAAAAAGAAAAAAAAAAAACAGCCCACCACACAAACCCCCCCAAGTCGGCGCTCCCCCACCCTCGGGGTCCGAGGGTGAGGGAGCGCTAATTTGGAGGGGTTTATGCGGTGGGCTGGTTTTTTTTTTTAACGGTTTAGATTTGGAGGTTCACGGTGGAGGTTTTAGGGGAAAGGGCGTCGAGAAAAGGCGAAGCCGACGGTTGGGGAGGGGATCTGGGCTAGGCCGGTGGGAGGAGTAATAGGCGTGTCGCATACCTATCAAAAATAACCTAACAGACCAATACTAATGTAGACTGGCAAGTAAGGGTCGGATCCCAAGAGACTAAGGTTCAGAAATAATTAAATAGACTCGAATTTCTACTAAGCAAGAATCAATTATCTAAGGAACTAAGTATGAGAAGAATTCGAAAATAAACTAAATAAGATGATTAAATCAAGTACTTAAAACATCCAAGATCTAGTTTCACCACAATTATTATCGATGCAATTGTAATTCTACCCTTAACATACGAATTCAATCGAACGGGGAAAAGTAAACCCTAATAAATACCAAGGATCTCTCTCGAGTATCAATGGCTTCCCTAACATACAATCAAGCCTATTCTCATGGTATCATGCATATTAGAGACATTAAACACATTACTCTCACTTCCCAATTATCGAACCCAACTACTCTCGTGTTGAGAATCAAACCCTAAATTGATTTACTCAAATCCGTTTATACCCAACTCTCGCTGTGATAAAAACAATGGAATAATTGCAATACTATAGTGACGTCTAACCTAGCATTGGCATAATCACAATCAATTTAGCAATTCAATTGTTAAAGTTGTTAAAGAATTTAAAGATTTAATTCATGCATCAATAATAATAGGGCTACACTAGATCTTGAATTAAAGAATCTACTCACACATGATTAAAGAAACAAAAACAATAATAAATAATGAAAACATAATTGAATAACAAAGGATGAAAAATAAATACCAAATCTTGAATAAAATTGAAAGTAGAAAGCTTGAATCTTGAATTACAAAAACTTAGAAAAATAATGGAGAACTAGTTCTTAAAGAGAGAATAATAAAACAAAATAAGGCTTAATGAATAATCCTCAAAAAAAACAAGGCTAAAAAGTATTTATAAAAACCTAAAAAGATAAGAAAATCAGCTAAGCCTTGGCGCACAAGAATCCCAGGAGGCACGGACGTGCCTAATAGGGAGGCACGGACGTGCCTCACTGCGTAGCAAATTGTTGTTGAGTCTGTCTTCCAGGCACGGACGTGCCTGGTTTTGGGCACGGACGTGCCTGCTCTGCTGCGCGTATCACTCATCTCAAATCAGTCATAACTTCATATCCGAAGCTCCATTTGAGATGTGTTATATATCGTTGGAAAGGTCTTCAAGTCTACTTTCCAATACAATTTGAATCACTCTATTATCATTTGTATACCAAAAGTTATGAGCATAATAGTGAACAGATGTCATATTTGTCAAGTATTTCATCAACATTTTGCTTCATTTTCACTCAAGTTCGTCTCGAACACATGATTTAATATTCGTGGGCCTCGGCATAGCTTCGTGACTTCGTAAAATCTCCATATTAGCTCCGTTAATCCTGAAATACATCAAAAACAACGA